ATCTATCTATCTATCTAAAATAATCTGTAAACTTTGAGGATGTTTAATTTTGAATAACTAAAGGTATTTTCTCACACACCTATTTGCCAGGTGTAGTTAACTTTAGATCTAGAACCCATTCAGTACACCCAAATCCTTAGAATTCTCAGGACTAAGGCTTGAAGGGACTTCATTTCTATAAGGATCAATTTTCTTTTCTGCTGGGGAAAAGCATGGTTAGCCTTTAGCAGAATTTTAAAATGGGTAAATTTGTACACTTCTTTCGTTCAACATTTTTTTATTAATATATGATATAACTAAAGAAAAGTATATAAAACCTATGTACAGTTTGAAGAACAATTTTAAGGCTGCTATCTTTGTAACCATCATCCAGATCAAGAAAGAGAACATTACTATCATTGTAGACGTTCTTCTCAAGTTACAATAGTTCATTCCCTAGATGAACAACTCCACTGGGATAATCACTCATAAAATAATTTTTGTGGTAATAATTTTCCTGATTTCTAAAAATAATTTGACCATAAATGAACATGTTTCTAAGAAATACAACTTAATTTTGTCTGTTTTTGAATATTATAAACAAAATCAACCGTTTACATTCTTACCACGTTTGCTTGGTAAGTTGGTGAAAATTGTCCATATTGTTGCATGCAGCTATAGCTTGTTCATTTTCATTGCCATATAGTATTAAATTGTATTCATATGTCACTATTTGTCCATTCTGCACCTGCAATCAAATTTTGAGTGGTTTCTAGCTTAATTGCTGTAAAAACAGCTCTGCTGTGAACATGAATCCTGGGGCATAAATGCAAGATTTTCTCTAGGAATAAAATAAAATTATTTGACAGTGGGGTGTACGTAAGATGCTTGTTTTCCAAAGTGTTTTTATTAGTTTACAGTTCCCACAGTGTACTCAAGCTATTACTACTCCATATCTTTGCCAGTATTTAGTATTGTTCAGCTTCCTAATTTTTGGCATTCTGCTAAATGTTTAATATATTTTGTTTTTAATTTGTATTTTCCTGATTACTAATGAGATTGTGCTCCTTTATTTAATTAATTAATTTGTCATTTTGTTTTTTTGGATTTCTTTTGTGAAGTCCCTGTTCGGATCCTTTTGCTCATTTTCTTTTTGGATCTTCTATCTTCTTCCACCCTGCATCTTTCCTCCTAAAGTATGTCGCAGGGCCCCTTTCACTAAAGTGCCCCACTCAAGTTTGCTTACCTTTAGAAATGAGACTTGTGTTCTAAAAATGCCTCTTTACTCCCATTTCTGGGATCAACTTCAGTGCAGTTATAATCAGGTGTTAGGTAGAAAGCCAAACTAAAACAATGTCAAAAATAGAGACGGGATTCTTTCATTGGGGCAGTGTTAGACTAGATTGGATTAGGTAACCTCCAGTTAAGGTCCATTTTAGTTTTAATGTCATAAGCTTCTAACTCATGAAATATATATGACTATTTTGATGACACATTAAATGTCTCTGCCTCTCAGTATACCTCACATTAATCAGTTTCTGTATAACAGAAACTGATATATAAAAACCAATATGCCAAAATTTTAAAGGCTTTTTAATTTTTATTTATTTTTTTAAAAATAGACATTTATTATCAAGTGAAAAATACAGGCTGTTAAAGGCTTTTTTAAAAAAAATATTTTTATTTCCGAGAGTAAGGGGGGGGAGGGGAGAGAGAGAGAGAGAGAG